TAACCACACAGAATCTGGTGCCTTTTTCACCGCATATACTGCAGGTGACTGGACAGTTTGTGAGGAATGCGGCTCACGTGTATCTGTCTGGCAGATCCCGGAGCATTCGGATTTCCACATGGCTCAACGGGTGCAAAACGAATGGGTCCGCGAATCCGCCGGTTCGTCGGCTTCTCTGTCCTCCTTTCCGCGTTGTTCAGGGACCTCAAAGTCCGGACGTGGACGGGCTCGTGTTTCTAAATCAGCTTTAAAAAACCGGGGGGCTGGTGCATTGGATCGTTTTGTTTTAAGACGCTAGGTGAACCCCGATACCTGAAGTCGCTTTGTGCAGTCTAATCGAATCAGTTACAAGTGATATTTTGCAACGCTTTCCCCACACAAATTCACTGAGTTTCTTAATGTTTCTTTTCACATGTGTTGTAGCTATGTCGCAACCCCTACACCTTGTCTGCGCGGCTGTACGTGAATCAGTTTTTTACCTTATGATTTTTACGCACTCATCAGGCCACAGTGCATTATCTTCTTAATGTAAAGTTATCTCGCTGAATTTTAAATGTATCCGGAAATGAACTCCTTTGTCTACCTCTTTTTAGTTTCTTTTGCGGAACAACAGGAATTTAGTCGGGCGGTTTACAATGCTTACATGTGTGTAAAGCTTGGAAAAGCATGTGGTACGAATAACGTCGCTATGTTGGTCTGCTTGAGTTTCTATTCCAACTTATTGCAGTGCGACGATTCGTGCAAATAGTCAGTTGCCTTACTAGTTTAGGAACCCCAAAGTGCACACAAAACAACCTTCATACAGATTCAATTTGTTTTTATGCTCGTGAGCCCAAAAGTTTTTCCCTGCTCCGTTACTGCAACGAGCGTTGAGGTTCCCAATACGGAACTTTGGGTCACGCATAGGTTTGAGGATCTCAAATGTCAAAGGGGGAAATCGGGTTCGTAAGTTGACGGTGCTATTGACGAAAGGGTAGGGAAAATTACTCAAGAAACTCAATAGTCCACGTTCGTGGCGTCGCAAGTTTGTCCCAGCGCACTGTCAATCGCACACCAGATATTGATGAGCGAAATGTTGGCTCGGAGGTGTGGATTACGATCGTACCTTCCGGGCTCAGTCTCGTGATTCTGATTTGCAGTGTGGTCACACGAAAATCATGACAGAACGAGTGACAGCAAGCCCAGTGGACGGACCACGAGTAGGTAGAGATGAGTCAGTGACACACGCGTATGCTACTGCGCCGGTGTTGCGCAAGTGGCCTTTTGGGGCGTGGGAATTGAGGGGCAAAAGAGGTGCAGTTCAATCAGTACATGGGTCAGCAAACGAATGAATGGGTAGAAAGAATCCTGATGTCAAGTTAGGTTTAACAATGAGTGTGTTGGGTAATCGTGGCTTTTCGCTTACACGTTGCTACCCTTCGTACCTTCCGCATGCGAGCGATTGTTGCCTCAACTCAAAAACAAGGCAACGGCTATACGGCTATAGAGTCCATAGCGCCGTACCTGTCCCAGACCAAGGCGAGTTGTTTTCAGCGTGTAGTAAATAGAAGTAAGAGTGGATTGTTTCGACGCCGGAGCATCACTAGTAAACTAATCAATAGATTTGAGAAAGACCAGTGGATCGAAAGAAGAGCGGATGGTGATTTTGCAAGAAAAGTTACTGATAGAATGAAAGAAACCATATTTCGAAGCACAAGCCGATTCGCAAATGCTTCGGATTTCCCTCAGTATTTCATGAAGGGTCACCATTTGTCACACTAAAAACAGTATTCAGGGATAAGTAATTCCACGTTCTGACCACCTATGTTTTCATCTTCCAACACACGCTCAATCACTCCCAGTCAGTTTGAGTCTGACAAGCGCTAGCAATCTTCAGTATGTGACCGCGGTATAACATGCTTTTGACCGTGGTCCGATTGCTGTCCAGGAGTCTATATTAGTCACGTGAGTAAATGCTGTGCCGTATAGGACCAGTACTCAAGCCAACAACCTCAAAGGACAAACCGGAAGTCATTTCTTAGATTAGATGGATGGATCATCTGTTGCTCCCACTGGGGGATTCGAATCAAGTGTATCAAGTGGAAACTTGATGACCAAAATGGAACACAGAAACCAACTGATCCCCTTTGACATCAACATCTTGACCTTCGTGTTATACAAATGATCCAATGTTGTTTAAGGCATTTCAACGTCGTAGGATGCGAATTTATTTTCAGGCACTATGAGAATTCACTCTACTTGGTAGTCCGCTAGTGATACAGCTTTAGGTGACTTTTAAATGCCTCTCACAGGCATGTATAGATAGTCTCCCTGGAGGGATGACTAACCGCTTTATATCGGCTGCCGAAAATTTTTGTCAACTGTGAAGGTATTCAACATCCATCAAACTTACAGTTCAGCAACCGACAAACTGGCTGGATGACAGTCAGTGAAAACCCTGGTCGGATTTCCATGCAATATTACTATGCCGACATGGAAGTGTACTCATTTTGGTTAGCAAATGCAAGGTGGTGATAGATATACCAATCAGGAAACAAACCTTTGTTCACTAAATACATGTCAATTCATAAACGGAAACCACTAGGAACCTGGTGCACTACTCAAGGTTGCTGAAAATTGCACGAACTTAGTGAACTGCGCTCATTTGCATTCCAATTTGGTTTTTCGAGAGACTCACCTGGAAACCAGCTGAATCACTCGTTTATGATGGTCCTAAACAACTGAATGTGCTGCACCAGGTCGCCTTGTGTCAGTTGTCACAATATTCGAGATATCACGATAAATGTATATGCATGGTACACTATTCATAAGGTTGATTTGAACTCTTAGACGGTCCACGACCGGTGTCGCCCTTCTTGGAGGGCGAACGAAAGATTCAACTGGATTCCAGGTGAATCTTCTGTCGAAACCGAATTGGTATGAAGATGGGTGTATCTCGCTACTAGCAACCTGTTTTGAGTGTCAATAGAATCTGCGTTACCTTGGCTAAAATGCTGCTCACCGGTTATCAACCAAGTACCTACTGGATGCATATTGATAGACGAGCTAATAAGTTACGATTGACTATTATCGTGCCGCCATATCACACATTCACCAAAGCGGCCTGTTGCTGGTCAGCCTGTCTTCCTAGCAATAACAAAGCTATGGTAAATTAAAGTTAATCTATTCTGTCTTGTTCGGACACGTTTATCGTAAGGCCAGTGGGAACGGTTCTACCGGTCACATCGCAGCTACAGCGGTAATTCATACATATTTCTCCTGCTACTATATCGCTCCCATCCGTTTTTTGTGATAGAGCTGGACGTGTCTATACTTGCACACCTTGGATTGCTCACACTCATTATGTGTTTGCTTCCCATCATACCAGCTGTTCCACCGAGTAAGGTAACGACTCTGGTATGTGGTCTTCCTATTTAACCATACATATCTCGATCATAATGACTAAGCAACCGCTAATTTCATTTTATGCGCACGTGTCACTTGTTATCCGGCCTGTGACTGGAGAACGGCCAAACCTTGCCGTTTGGGGATGTGGTTGTTCCGCTTCCGGTAGAGGTTTGTCCTTTGAATAGTGTCTCATTTATTAAAAACGCGTTGAACGTATCATCCCAAGCGCTCTCGTGTGTCGGGATCGTTAGGAACACGCGTTATCGAACACCCAA